GGGGGTGGGGGGCAGCCAAAAATGTTTTTGCTTGCGGCGGCAAAAAACCTAGAGCCGGCCCTGACTGAGTGGACTGGACAGATACAACTTTGAAGTCCACAGTGAAGTTTTGCATGGCAAAATATAGTGTGTTGCATGGGCTTGTGATCAAGGCAGCTGATGTTCTGGAGATCATTGTGGGCTTTAAACCACTGGGATTCCTGAATAGCGCAGGCTGTACTGATGTAACATCTGTTTCCATTCTGAAGAAAAGAGTGGCAGAAGGTAGCCACATCAAATACTTGATGGCAGGGGGATGGAGCCTCGGGCACTACTGCCAATAGAACGTATTATTAATAATCCTTTTCAATGATGCAATTCTAAATCAAAACTCCAATGAGACAGCAGCCAAAACTGCAATATATTAATCTCTTATATCTCATTTAGCCATCTAACTGTGCCGGGTTACGTACCAACTCTCACTATAGTTAGTTTCAGTTGCATCTCATGAATCTGCGGGATACCTGCCATGCTACATGACTCAGTGGAAACACTTTTTAAAACATATTTACTGTACTTGCTAATCAAGCACCCACCATTAAGGAAAAATAAATTAAGTTCTGGACTTATGAGAATCAGCTGATTAAAATGTCAATTGTGTGATCACAAGCCAAACAGCAAATGCTATGCTTAGAGCTGAGTGTTTGCAAGAAACAATTTCAGTGCCTTGATGAGGATTCAAGCACTTTGGGCAAGAATATTCATGCCTCTGACTTTGCAATTCATTTTCTACTAACATTTGATTCAGTAAAACTCAATCATTTGAATGTTAGCAGAAAGCAACCAAAAACAGGGTACAAGTATGGTCAAACTAAACTCATTTAAAAATCTAAATGCATATCTGTAAAAAAAAATTTTGCATTATTCACTTACTCTAGCGGTGCTCCACATGCTATTCGCAAATAGCTTCTAAAGGGCCCAGCATATCCGTATTCTTCTGGGCAGGTTTAAAGAAGACCATAAAGGATTTGAAGAGATGTTTATTGTTAACTGATGTTGCATAACTCTCTACATGCTACCGTGAAAATGTGTTTCTTGGATGGAAAATAGCATCATTTCTATTTGTAAATTGCATTTGATCATTGAAGTATCCTGAACTGTAACAAAGGAAAGATTACCTTTCCTGATTTGCTGCATAATAGTATTATAGTAGGTTGCTATGACAACAAGATATAACGCCCCTATATTTGAATGGGGCCTTCACTTCAAAGGTATTAGAAATCTACAAATTTCAACAATTTTTACTTCAAATATTCATTTCATCCTGAAATTATCACACAGTAGGGAAGTATAAATGTTATCACTAAGCAATTTGTCGCAAGAGAGCGGCAACAAAATGAAGTTTTAAGTAACGTTTATTTTTTTAAAAAATGTTACAGGCTGATAAAAAAAACTGTACAGATGAAAGTAAAAAAGATCCCACCGAGAGAGATGCAAAGGCAACTATTAAGCTCTAACGAATCGCCAAAGCAAAAATACCTGGTGGGTGTTTATTAATAATTTATTGTATTACAGTAGCACACAGAAGGACTGGCCCCCCATTATGCTAGCTATTGTACAACCTCATAATAGGAGATAGTACCTTCCACAAAAAACTGAGTCTAAAAAATGTGAATGCAAGTCTGGGGGGTGGGAAGGACTTCCTTATAAGAGTACATCAAGAGCCAGGCTCTGTGATCTGAGGTGCATGCCAGGGATCACAGCAAGGGACACTATTATGAATAAACAAGTTAATTAGGAACAAATAAGAACAAGCCCAAACTTTAATGTACTGCTTGCTGTGTACATGTACCGCTGCCAGCTATTGGGTGGGATATTTAGACTTCCTCAAGCATTCAGTGGAAATAGTCCCGTTACCTTCAATGGGTCAGGCCTTTAGTGTGCAGTTTGGAATTCTCCCAACTATGATTAATCCGATTTTCTGCTCCCTTCAATACCCTACACAACTTGATTCATAAGAAAATATTCATTAAATGGCCTAAAAAGAGGATATTACATATATCTGTTAAGGAAGATTTTCTTTTAGCTCAAGTGGTAGAGTGCTATGTTTTCTATAGCTCAGTTCTATTCCCCAAGCTGCATTGTATACAGCTAGCTGGCAAAAAACCCAATGTCTGCAGGTGATTGCAGATCATTATCACTTTTCCCAGTTCTTTTTAAAGGTTCAGTTCAGAGAAAAACAAATTCATACACACACTTGGGGAGCCTACTTGGCTCAGAATGGACCTTGGATTGCATTTGAGAGAGAGTGGGCAGGGAAGGTGGTGAAACAAAGAAAGTAAGGGGATGGATAGAGCTGGGGCAGACAGTAGAGATTAGTCATAGTTGCGAGATCTGGACACAGCCAGCTGTGTTTGTGAGGAAGGCTGGGGTTCACACTTGTACAAATGATTAGGGCCCTGCCAAATTCACGGCCATGAAAAACGCGTCACGGACCATGAAACCTGGTCTCCTGCCGTGAAATCTGGTCTTTTGTGTGCTTTTACTCTATGCTATACAGATTTCACTGGGAAGGCCAGCGTTTCTCAAATTGGGGGTCCTGATCCAAAAGGGAGCTGCAGGGGGGTTACAAGGTTATTTTAGGGGCACTGCAGTATTGCCACCCTTACTTCTCCACTGCTTTCAGAGCTGGGTGTCCAGAGAGCGGTGGCTGATGGCAAGCACCCAGCTCTGAAGGCAGCACCCAGCCAGCAGCAGCGCAGAAGTAAGGGTGGCAATAACACACCATCCCATGCCACTCTTACTTCTGTGCTGCTGCCTTCAGAGCTGGGCAGCCGGAGAGTGGCAGCTGCTGACTGAGGGCCGAGCTCTGCGAGCAGCAGCACAGAAGTAAGGATGGCAATACCATACCATACCATCCTTACTTCTACATTGCTGCTGGTGGTGGCTCTGCCTTCAGAGTTGGGCTCCCGGCCAGCAGCTGCCGCTCTCCAGCTGCCAAGCTCTGAAGGCTGCACCGCCACCAGCAACAGCGCAGAAGTAAGGGTGGCAGTACCGCAACCCCCCCGACAATAACGTTGCGACCTCCCCACAACTCCTTTTTGGGTCAGGACCCCTACAATTACAACACTGTGAAATTTTATAAATAAAATTTAAATAAATTAATGGAGATATCCTATCTCCTAGAACTGGAAGGGACCTTGAAAGGTCATCAAGTCCAGCCCCCTGCCTTCACTAGCAGGACCAAGTACTGATTTTGCCCCAGATGGTCCCCTCAAGGATTGAACTCACAACCCTGGGTTTAGTAGGCCAATGCTCAAACCACTGAGCTGTCTCACCCCCCTAAATTCAGCTTGAAATTGCTGAAATAATGAAATTTACTATTTTTAAAACCCTACGACCATGAAATTGACCAAAATGGACCGTGAATTTGGTAGGGCCCTACAAATGATAGAACGGCAGATTCCAAGCAGGAGGGAGAGCTTAGCAAGACTGGGGCTCCTGGGTGCAACGACAGTACAAATTATAAATAACAATAATGTTTGCAGTGTTGTTGTAGCCTTGTGGGTCCCAGGATATTAGTGAGACAAGGCGGGTGAGGTAATATCTTTTATGGGACCAACTTGGGTGGGTGAAAGTGCCAAGCTTTCAAGCCACACAGAGATCTTTTTCAGGACCAGATCTGTGTAGCTCGAAAGCTTTTCTCTTTGGCCAACAAAAATTGGTCAAATAACAATACTATTAGTTATAACAGGGTTTAATTCAATAATACCAGAAAAGTACTAAACTGAGAACTTAACATTTGTATTTACAAAACCTGTAAGCTTTCTAGCTGCAGACCACCTTAATGCCACCAGTCTACATACTGATGCTGCTTTATTGCGAAATATGCAGACTAGGGGTGCTTATTTCACTAGATACTTTTCCACTGGCCAGTCGTAACAGGCAGTTAATGACCATGTCTTTGGCCTTGGTGGTCTCCATATTCCTCTCTCGTGATATCTGCATGCTGATTTGGTCTACGTTGGTCATGATGAGCTCAGAGGCCAGGATCTGAGTGGGGGATGCACTGTTGACCATGCTGTCCATGATATACTGCTTGTACAACTCCACCACTTTCTGCTCTAGGTAGTCATTCAGTATTGAATTGGAGAGTGGCTGCTGGTGTTGCATTATGCTGGTCACTCGCCAGCATGACGAGTACCCTTGGACGGGCTTGCGAATGAGGTCATTGGTTGGCATCCTCATGGATTCCATAGGTGGAGGAATCTCTGATGACTCCAAAAATGGGCCTATCCCACTGTCACAGGTAAAATCTGTTGTTACTGAGCTGATAGGCATCACATGGCCTCCAGCAATGTGTAAATCATTGTAATTCTTGCAAATGCTTTTACAGGAAGAAGGAACCAGGTAGGTATCTCTACTTGTGGATTCTCCAGACATATCCCCAACTGGAGATGTTTGCCTTTCAAACTCTGTGCTCTGAATAACCTGCAGTAAAGTCTCTTTCTGTCTTCCGTTGTGTTTGCTTCCTTTTGAATGGACTGAAGAAAAGAACTTGCTCACAGACCTGCACCTCTGAAAGAGACTTCTGCCCTGTGTTTCATCCATGGAGGAATAGGTAAAGCCACACATGGAGCTCATCTCATGCACCTTCTCCTCTGCTGCTCGTTTTCTGTAGAGCTTGGAACTCAAGAAGTCGTCACAAAAATAGGGGATTCCACAAAGATACCCTTCTGACAACATTCTTGAAAAAAGAGGAAATGAGACATCAAAGATTAAATTAGATCATCGTTATTAGGAATAACCCAACAGGAAGATGGAACAGAAAAACAACAAGAAAAGGCAAATAGTTCATTTGTTTGTAAAAAGACTTTTGTATTGATTATGTTCCCCCTGAAAATCTGTTATTGTTTGCATATAGATTAGCTTCAGATCAGGATATTACCATGAGAGTTTCTCACTTTTTAAATGGCTTGAGTGAATGCAGTGAGCGTCTAGTTCTCAAACTTTTGTACTGGTGACCCCATTTTAAATAGCAAGCCTTTGAGTGTGACCCCCCCCTTATAAATTAAAAACACTTTTTAAATATATTTAACACCATTATAAATGCTGGATGCAAAGTGGGGTTTGGGGTGGAGGCTGATAGCTCGCGACCCCCATGTAATAACCTCACAACCCCCTGAGAGGTCCCGACCCCCAGTTTGAGAACCTCTATGTTAGACCAATCACATAAAATAATTTTATGCACACTACCACATGCAATATACTGTGTTTTTGTTTTATAAGGGTATTTTGTGCAATGGCTTGTGGTTTATATCTATGTGGTTTCTGCAGAAAGTGTATTGATTTCAGCGGGTGGCCATAAAAGGTGATTTTTTTTCCATTCTCCATGCACATTCAAGCTATGGGATTTATTCCAAAACTTGAAGACCTTCACATGCCACCATTGGAAAAGGTGGATCTCAGCTTCATGTTCTGAGTGTAACTTCTTCCTTCTTCTCAGGCTGAACAATTGTTATTTTCGTGGTTTCTTTTTTAATTTAAAAAACACCACCATATAGTGATTATACAAATTTCTGTAATTGGACTGACTGATAACCATTATTAGCCAGTCCAAATGGTCACTTTGAGTTCCCAAATTGAGACAGCTAGGGCCTGGTTTTCAGACATTCTCAATACCCACAGCTCCTGTTCACTTTGGTTGGAGTTTTGGATGTTCAGCAGTTCTGGAAACAGGGCCACACTATCTGAAGTCAGACACCCAGAAATCAAGGCTCCCAAAATCATTAGATAGTTTTGAGAATTTAGGCCGTACAGTATAGTTACAGAAAAATAGCCATACAATGATTATTGAAATCAGACACTTAGAAACCAGTCAGAGTGCATAGAACTGTGTAACTGGGAGACACGTGCATCACTATGCATCAGCAAATGTTCAGCATCCCTGCACTCTGATCATTCAATTTCAGTATAATTATTCATAATTACACATCAGTTTTTCTAAACCAGTGGCAGGAAAATATCCTGTATGAAAGGGGTCCTAGACCAGTCCCACATGGTATAGCAAAGAGGAAGTTGAGTTTTACCAAGCAGATTTCACATGTTCAAATCACTTTTATAGTACAAAACTACCAAGTGATCGGTGAGAAATTAAAGCCTTCATTTTAGTAATGTGTAGGACTCTTCATTTAACATTTAATCCAATTATAAAATGTAATAGGCACAGATATTTTCTCCACAGGCAGGAACACATGTTATAGATATTTTTCAGTTTATTTGACTGTTTCAGGACACCAGAACTGAGTGCACACAAGTGACTGGAAAATGCTTATACAAACTGTGAAAGGAAAGGTGGTATCATTATGTGGCACATAGGATACTACATGCCAACTTTGTGGTTGTCGCTCATTATTGGTGGGTGTGATAGGGCTTTCACCTCCTCCAAGAGCCATTCCTTGCATTACAGCAGCCATTACAAAATGTTGCAATACATATTGGACAAAGTCCTGGTCCTGGCTATGGAACCGTCCTCTGAAACTGGGGCAGAAAGGAGCTGTCAGCAGGAGAGGACAGGCCCATTAGAGCAAGAACCCATTCTGAGTTAGGAGGGAGGAGAAAGCAATTCACCCAGGGCCTCTCAGAAGGTAATCTGTGTGGAGATAATATCTACATACATATGTTAGGGACTCTGGGTTCTGGCTGTCCTCTCTCCCTGTGGCAACTCCATGTTTACCACAGCCTATGACTGCAGAAACTGTGGTTAGCAGAACACAGGAAGAGACATGGACTGGTGTCCATGGAGGGGTCCAGAGAGGGGGAGATCTCTTTCCCATGAGGACACCTTGCCCCCTCAGATGACTGGTTTCTAGCATCCCTTCCTTTTAAACAGCTACAGAAACCCTATCGGGGGTTTAATTGCCCTTAGGATTAGTTGCTGCTGGTTTACTTTATTTATTAGCCACACTAAGAGAGCCGTGAAAATCTACTGCAGAATGCCAGTTAAATTCTGCTTCCCTCATAGCAGGAGGAGATGCCAAAATAGTTCTCTCCTATAGTCTTTCACAGGAAAGAGTAGTGTGTTGGCTTTAACTTTGGTCAGAGCAAAGGTGGAATTATTGTGATACTGACCCATATACTTATTTTTGGTGTAAATATTGAGAAACAAGTAAAACTATATATTACATGATCTATCCCATTTCTAATAATTGTACATAGTCTGTGCCCAGTTTATGTAGCATGTGTCATCATTGTTTTCCCAGCTGCCAGATGTACCATTCTTCTATCACAAAGTGATGTAGCAGGAAATTGAAACTGCTGGTTTCATTTCTTTGGCCAAATTCTGTAGTTCTTATTTTCAGGGTTAGATCACACCCAGAAAAGTCATGAAACTGAGCAAGTTCAGACCCACAGAGTACTTGGAAAAATCTAGTTGGCTGAGTGGGCTTTACCCTCTTGCTCTGTAGAGGACTGTTTCCCTTTCAGCCTGCAGATGTTCCCAGATCTTCAAGCGAAATCATGCTGAGGTGAGAGGCAATTCTGAGGGCCTGGACATTTACACAGGAGCTCAATACATTCACGTTATCCCCTCCATCCTCTGCCCATCAGTTCAGCTAGAGGCAGGTTGCCATGGTCTCACTACTGGCAACTGGCCACACAGAGGGGATTTGCATGTGGAAAGGGTCAGCATTATTTCCTGCAGGTGCTTTTTCTTTGGTAAGAGAAGAACAGTTATTCCCAGTTCCACTTTCTCCTGCCTCCAATACACATGCACACCACAGAGTCCCAAATGCACAGAGATTGTGTATAAGGGATTCCACAGAGTTGGAGCAATGATAGGATTTCATGTTCCTTTAGATCAGTCCATTTTTCTCCTGTCCTCCCTTGAAAAATTCACATTGTGAATGTTTCATTCCATGGGGGACAGAGAGAGCAGATGGCCTAGTTCACAGTCTTTACTCTTGACATGTTTTGCCCTGAGACAGGGCTGCTGGACTTTTCCCTTGCTTGGTTGTTATTTTTTAATATGGTGATTGATTAAATTCTAAAGGAATACTAGCACAGCTTGCACTGGGGAGGAATAAAAGAAGCACTGCCTGTTATAAATTCTTTATTACCTTTATCTTTTTGGTTTTTAAAACCAAATCCCTGGCATATGCCTTAACCTGGATATTTTTTGCATTTCAGTCAGGGCCGGCTCTGGCTTTTTGCTCAGCTGGTGCCTGGAGCCGGCCCTGATTTCAGTGGAGAGAAGAGTTGACCCTTGATCTATGCTGCTAAGGTTAGTGTGACTACAGTGAGCCTCTGCGTAAATGCCCAGAACCCAGCAATATCATAGGCTTTCTCAGACTGGCAGATCCATTGCTTGGAGACGATGGCAATGTGTGTACAAAGAGCCCAGTGCATAGCTGATAGAGAAGCTATATAGCTACATAGAATTGAACTGACTGCCTGGCCTAGGCTAAGCAAGAGCCTGAAGCAATATATATATAAGAAGAGTAATAATAAAATCTGCTTGTCCCTTAAAGCCTGAGTGAGGTGGAAGATTTCTAGAGAAAGTGAAAGGAATGTAGTACAGCTAGTGGGCACAAGGATATGTGGGATGGGGCTTTTAGAAAGGGATGGACGCAAATACATTTGGGCATGCAAGGTCCCAAAGTATGGTCCTAAATAACCTTCCAGGTGTGCTGTTCGGTGTCTGGAGTTCAGCTTTGTATGTGATCCCTATACATATACAAGGCTTCCTAGAATCATAGGTGCAAATAATCCCTTATCCCTTCCTGAGGGGGAATGAAAATCCTATGGATCCCTTTCAGGCAATCCTCTCCCACCCCCTAGGACTCAGAGAAGCCCTTCCATGAGGTCTGGATCCCGGTGGGGAGATGGGAGGATGTACAGCCAAGGCCCACCCTATAGGGAGTTTATACAAAAGTTATAGTGACCATCAGTATTAACTTTATGCCTTATGGCACTTACTTCCTACTCCCATCTTGAGGAGCTATAGCTGGAAGTGGAGCCCTGACAGTGCAGTGTCTGTGGAGCCTCACTGGCAGGATCCATAGGGGGCTAGGAAGAGCCAGGAAAGAGGGCAGAACCATAAGATTTCCATGACGATGGCCATGCCTGTGGTGGATTCCCTGACATCCCCAGATTTAGGAAACTGAACCTCCTGCTCATGGCTTAAATTCAGCTGGAGCTGTCCAGAGCAAAGCTCTGATCAATATTTTCAAACCCACAGGACAGAAGCCCTGAGCCCCGGGGAGCTCCGGGAAATACTTTATGAGAATTTAAGCCCTGTTCCTGCTCATTTGATGAGGAGTAACTTGCCCCCTTCCACCGCCCAACATGTACACAATGGAACAGTCTTGTACAAATTCTCCATGGGGAACCCCAATAAGTTTCCAGTCCCCTACACCTTTTTGTCCAATTTGGTCTTTATTTCAGGTCAGAAAAGGTTCCCTGGGCCATATACTCTAAATTGCATTTTGCAAGACTCTGCATCTGAAAAGCCTTATAGCAAAGCTGTGTGACGTTGCACTCTATACGATTTTATAAATATATGTTAATGAGTGAATATAATGTAACTGGAATATGCTTCATGCAAAAGGTCTCTTGTAAGGTATCGTTACAAAGCTTATAATCTACTGAGTGTGGTCATCTTATTTGTATAAATGTATCACTCTTGTATCTGAAACTAGAAATATGAAATATAACTCTGAGAGCCTATTGTAATTATGCAAAGTGTGGGCCATTAATGGTGGTTTGGAATCTTGATGGCTCCCATCAACCAGGACAATTGACTGTGGATGGCTCTGTTTGCAAGCAAGCCTTTCTGTGAGTCAGGCTGGGAGGAATGAAGGCTTGGGGTCCTGCAGTGACATGTGATCATGTCACCTGAACTGGAATCCATCTTTAACCTGGTGTCTTTCCATTGAGAAGGAGGGGGTGGGAACCCAGAGAGGGACAAAGGATTCCCGCCTTATGCAAAAGATATATAAATGGGTGGAACAGAACAAAGGGGAGAGCCATCATGAAGAATCCCCTAGCTACCACCTGAGCAGGAACAAGAGCTGTACCAGGGGAAAGAATTGTGCCCAGGCCTGGAAGGTGTCCAGTCTGAGGAAAAAATTTACTGAAGCATCTCTAAGGGTGAGATTATCTGTATTCAGTTTGATTAGACATAGATTTGCGTGTTTTATTTTATTTTGCTTGGTGACTTACTTTGTTTTGTCTGTTACTACTTGGAACCACTTAAATCCTACTTTCTGTATTTAATAAAATCACTTTTTACTTATTAATTAACTCAGAGTATGTATTAATACGGGGGGGGGGCAAACAGCTGTGCAAATCTATCTATCAGTGTTATAGAGGGTGAACAATTTATGAGTTTACTCTGTATAAGCTTTATACAGGGTAAAATGGATTTATTTGGGGTTAAACCCCATTGGGAGTTGGGCATCTGAGTGTTAAAGACAGGAACACTTCTTAAGCTGCTTTCAGTTAAGCCTACAGCTGTTAGGGGACATGATTCAGACCTGGGTCTGGGTTTGCAGCAGGCTAGCGAGTCTGGCTCAAACCAGGCAGGGCACTGAAGTCCTAAGCTGATAGGGCAGGAAAGCAGGGGCAGAAGTAGTCTTGGCACATCAGGTGGCAGCTCCCCAGGGGGGTCCTGTGATCCAACCCGTCACAAGCTGTTGTTAAATATTTACAGTGACTGTGCCTCAAGTGCTTCTATTTGGAGTTCATTATACTGCTCTGTTGCCATTATGGCTAAGAACCTTTCCAAATAGTAAATAAACATTTTTCTTCATTAGTCTCAGACAAGATCTCCTTTGCCTACTGCCACCTAAAGCTAGGAGTTATTTCCTTCCCTTGTGTATAACTTTCTTGAGGGTGTTTGCCAACTGTGATTATGATTCCTCTGAATCTTCTCCTTGTCTAGATTACAATTACATGGGTCAAATCTTCCAAACTAGCTGCCTAAATTATACGAAACATGAATTTGCCTGCACAAAGGGGGTACAAAGGAACATAGGAATTGCCCTTCTGGATTGGGCAGTTGCTGTCTCTAATCCAATAACCTGTCTCTAACAGTGGTCAATACCAGATGCTTCAGAGGAAGGTGGGAAAAAAAAACCTCCATAATGGGCAATCATGGCACTACCTACCCATAACTAACTCTGCTAGTGTGAAACCGAAGCCCAAGGGTTTCAGCCCTGCTGCCCAGGGCTGAAACCGAAGCCTGAGCACCACTTCAACTTCGACTCCAGGCGGTAGGGCTCTGGCTTTAGCTTTGGGCAGTGGGGCTCAGGCGTCAGCTCCGGCCCAGGACCCCAGCAAGTCTGGCACCAGCACTGGCAACCCCATTAAAACCCACTGGCAACCCACAGTTTGAGAACCCCTGTACTAGACAATTTAGAGGGATACAATCTTTGTTTCTACACATCTACATGTCTCTCTTATAAGTAAATTTAAATCTCTTGTTTAGTCCGTCTTAACTTTGTGGATTTTGTATGTGCATTTTAAAGCTATATCCATGTTGTGACAATTCATTAATATTTTGCATCTGAAGTAATTGGAGCAGGGGGAAATGGATTCATGTGCTCTTGTCACTGAAAGTGTTACACTTACTAGGAGTGGGGGACAGAGAAAGAGCTACAGTACATTGCTATTGAAACTATTGCCATTTTATGAAGCGTGAACAGGAGGAGAGTGCATGAACCTGACCATGGAATGAAAGGGTTACATCTGCTGGGGACTACATGTAAGCGAGAAAGAGAGAGTGTGTGTGTGTGTGTGCGCACTCCTGAATTTGCTGTGAGTCTAGAAAATGCAAGGATTAAAGGTCCTACGGGTAATATTTATTTTAACCATAATTGGGTTGCTCAGAAAAATTCTAAAGCTTTTGACACAGATATACAATATCCATTTTTTACTTAGGGGAAACAATCTGCATATGCAGTACTCTACCTCTAAGCTGTCGCTTGGATAATTTCCTAACTCATACACACACATCAATGAAAAATGGTATAATCAGCATAAAAGCAGCACATTCAATTACACTTGCTTTAAAAGTATTACATAATGTAGATGATTATTATTTTATTACTTGCATTATGATAGTGCCTAGAGCCCTAGTCATGTACCAAGAGCCCACACAGGATCTGAGTGACTATGTTTTCATATCCTTAAGCCACATCAAAGACTAACTATTGTGACTCATGGTTCTGGAGGCTGATACACTAGACTGGAGTTTGTAATATACTTACCATTTCTGAAGGAACCAGAAATTGCATGTGGAAATTCACAGAGGCTATGTAAAATCCTTGCAAACCTACACTGCCCAAATGCCAATCAGACAAAGATTATCTGGATTTTACCAATGTGATTGCCAATCAGACACTAACAAGCCAAGTGTAGAGGCAAGAAAAATATTTACAGAGAATTGTACAGTGTATAATATGTTTTAGTTCTTACCTTCAAGGCTTAGCTGCTTTCCTGAGACAGAAGATAAACAACAGCAAATGACCATGCAGAAAAAAATTGTAGTTCTTCCAGACAGTTTAAAAGCTCACTTGTATGTAGCTTTTTTTACATTGCAAAGATTACATGTATTTTGTTTCTCACTCTCCATTACTCAGAAGAATTAAAGGGAAGTCCCTGGGAGATTTGGACGTTTTATAACTGACTTATTAGAACCACACCACATTAGACTCTTTCTTCCTCTTTTTATGCCAAAATGAAACTGTGTTGTGAAACTAAATGTTGTTAAAATAGTATAGTGCAACATAACACGTGTGTACCCATCAGCCTATGCTGCCAGTTCCGTAAAGAGAGATGTTAATGAAATGAAAAAATATAGCATTCTGAGAGAGTTGGATAATCAAGAATTCAGTTGTGTCTTACCCCAATTTCACTCCATTTATGTAATTTTCCATCTTTACAGAGATGGTAAGTCACCATAGGACCAAACAGGACTCCATTCTTTAGCAGGCACACGGTCTCATAAAGACCCTATTACATCTAGCCTACTGCCAAATGAGCCAGTACAAGATGCTACTGGCACATCTGAATTGACCCCAAAAGGCTGAATAAGAGTTAGCTGAAAAGGGGTTATCAGATTTCTATACTGGGAAAATGATTGCAAACTATTTTCTTCCTGTCTCTTTTTTTTTAACTAAACCCTATATTATTTTTCTTTAAGAAGTCTAAGGTTTTATTAGAAGCACAAAACTCTAGCTGCTAACCAGCTGAGGTATATATGCAGGTATATCATATAGCATGATTAAGCTATGTAAGTCACTTGGAAAAATTGGAATCAATCAAAAAGACTGAGATCCATGCTATCCTGGGGCACTGCGGGGGAGGACAGCCTTCTTTATCCCTTCATCTGTTCAGGAGAAATTGTACTGTATCATGGAACTATTTTCATTAGGTGATGATGGCTTTTCCACAGAGCCCAATAAGGTCCTGCATTTTACTAGAGCAGGGATAGATTCTAAAGAAAAATCTGAGATATGTAGATAATAGTCTTCATTGTGATAATACATACACATCCCTTGAAACTCAAATTCGTTAGACCTCACCTTATGCTACTTCAGATGCCAGTGTCTCATTTTTTCATTTAGTCCAACTTTAAGTCAGTAGCAATAATATACAATGTCCTCTTAACCTTAGTCTTGAAAATCTGGCAAGAGACACCTGTTATCACATGTGTACATTTAACAGTCATGTAGTTTTTTCCAGCTTCATTCCTTGGGGCAAATTCAGGCCTGGTTTTGCCCATCTGCCTGGGATAAATTTGGCTCTGTAGCTGGAATAGGGCATACCAAAGGTTCAAATAGTGAGTGATATTGTGAAGTATTACATTGATTTTCGGGTAATTATAAAATGACGAATATATGCTACAAGTTATCTTTTTTGGGTAACTACCATCTTCAGAAAAGGAAAGATAAAATATGAATTTTCCTCCACAGATAATGCATCCTCCTCCTCCCCTCCATTAATATGATTCCCTTAATATGCTGCCACTTTTAGATTCTTCTCCCAAACCTCCATAACCCATTGAACTGCTGGGAATCACTAGCTTTTTTGTATTCTACAAAGCTCCATATGGCTGGTAGCTCAACAGTTCTGCTGAGAGTAAAAATGTCAAAAAATGAGTTTTTACTAATGCAAAAGCACCTCCAGGAATAACTTAAGAAGAGTGGTCAGAATTTTAAAATTAGGTGTCTAAAGTGGGGCTTCTAAATACATATATCAGCATCTAGATACAAGTGGCCTGATTTCCAAAAGAGATGAGCACTTCTAAGTCATTGGGAGCTGCAACTTTCCAGAAATATTGAAAATCTATCTACTTTTATTCCGGTGCCTCAAGGGATTTAAAGACCTAACTTTAGGCACCCAGCTTGAAAAAATTAGCCAGTGCTCACTGCTTTACAGGACACAAAAACCACGATAGTCTGTTCTCATTGATCCTACTGTAGCTATAAATTCCAGAGGAAGAGAGTTTTAATACTGTAGTTTCTCATAAGACAGGTTGAGTATTAACACCCTGATATTTTGCAAGAGCAAGGATCAACCTTTTTGGTGGATAGCCGTATGTTTCCTAGTGCCCTTGTTCATCTTCATCTGAAGGGCTATCCTCAGGCAGGCAGAATTATCACATGAATTGTAACGCTCTGATTTATAATCTGTTCTTTAACTGTAGCACTCTGAGGGTCAAACTGAAAGGTGAGTGACCTGCAGGGACTCTAAGCTGCTGTAACAAATCACCTTCTGCCCCCCTTATCCTGTGTCTAAGTTGGCGTGAGCTGGCATTACTTCCATGACGAGAGGGCTCGGAAGATGGTGCAAATTGCAGCAGCTTTGAAACTCCTTCAGATTATTATCTGAATTTTGCTCAGAATGTTTGTGGCCACATTTACTTATTATGCTCAATAGCCTTTGCCATCTAATGTGTACCTGCCTCAGGCAGACTGTGAGCCAGATTCACTGACGCTGGCAAAAAGCCCATTTCAATGGCATCTCTCTGCATGAGAGAGGATTCCCCTTGGAATGACAACTTTAATTCCTATTTGTGACCCCATAATCAGTGGGAATGTGCCGACATAGCTCAGCCCTGGCTCCCCTAGACCTCCCTACTCCCCAGCCAATGTTGCTCACCTTTTGTGGGTGGTAATGCTGCACTATTATAAACGTGAAGAGAAGGCTGGAGCTGCTTCACATACTTCATACAAACTCCACCACGGTGGACTTTATGATTGAGATCCCATATCAATACAGGCTGAATATGGGCCTGCGTTGTTAAATACTGCAAAGATGGCTGCGTTTCAGCAGTGAGTGAAAGGCTATTTCTCTTTGTAAAGTTTGTGCAGTGTTTCAGGAACCAGTGAGATGAAAGACACTTTATACATTTCTGTTGTTATGAATATTATTAAGAGTAGGAAACATAGGCACTGACTCTGTGGGTGTTCCAGGGCTGGAACACCCATGGGGAAAAAATTGTGGGTGCTCAGCACCCACCAGCAGCCCCCCATCAGCTCCACCCCCTCCTCCCCAGTGCCTCCCACCCACTGTCAGCTCTGCCAATCAGCGCTTCCCTCTCCCTCCCAGCACCCACCACAGATCAGCTGTTTAGCAGCGTGCAGGAGGTGCTGGGGGTAGGGGAAAGAGTGAGGGTGGGGCATGCTCTGGGGAGGGGCAGAACAAGGTGGGAAGAGGCGGGGCAGGGGTGGGAACAGGAGGAGCGGGGTGTGGCGGGGCGGGAAGAGGTAGGTGGGGTGGGGCTTTGGGGGAAGGGGTGGAGTGGGGGTGGGGCCTGGTGGAGTGGGGGTGGGGCCTAGGGCGGAGCAGGGGTTGAGCACACACACCCCTGGGAAAGGATAAAGTCGGCGCCTTTGGTAGGAAATAAATTCAGCCTGCATGCTAGATGTCCATATTTTTTTTGGTGCATATATTCAAGCTGTACAAAACAAAGGTGCACACTGAAATATCTGCAGACCAAACCAGTTTTAATTCTGAAACTACTTCATGATCATATATCATTAACTGGGGACTCTGGAACTGCAAAGGTTATAATTACATAGCCTAACTTTATGGCCTACTCTACTTATGATTTTATGCAGTATCACAAAGGGCTGCTATGAATCTTTTCCCTCTTAGAAAAAAAGACAGGCAAATATTTCAATACCTTAATTTATTATGTGGGAGATATCATGAATAATTCAAGAAGCGTGGCCATGTGTTACCAAAATCAATATTTCAAGTTGCGTAATACACCACTTTCTTAATTACAGTCCAGCACTACTTTCACACATTGATAATCACATACATACTATCAATTACTTAAATAAAACAACAATAATCTTTTAGTGAGGAAGAAATATCATGGTTCTGTACAGTTCCTCTTTCTCACCCTTCTTTGTAGTTAATGGAAAGCAAATTAATAGAGTGTCCTAAATAAAATATAGTGCCATTCAGTTAAACATCTATTTACAGCTGATTCCTCTACTCCCATGCAAAAGACTGCATCAGAAGCAAATACCCCTTCACTGCTGCTATGCATGTCCCGGTACTATGTGCGTGTATGCATCTCAGTAGCATCTTTCAGTGATATGTTCCGTTCCAGGGCCTCATTGAAAGCCCACTGAACTGAATGGAAAGACTCCCATTGAAATTGATGGGTTTTTGGATCAGACTCCAAGGAAATGAGAGTTCTGAACATACCTAGTAATGGAGTGTATTTCCTGGATGTAGCCTGTTTGTCATTCAACATTTACAGGGCCCGGTTTGGGCACAATGGATCTAGAAGCAAAACATGTCCACAGAATCCAAATCTGTGCACACAAACAGGTAGTTGAATATGCTACTGCCCAATTTTCATGTGCAATTAACCTTCTGCATGCACAACTACACGTGTTGGGTTTTGGAGAGCAAGTGAGGGGAGCAGCAAATATGGGCTAGATTTGTGAAAGGACATAGGCGCCTAACTGCCATTTTAGGCACCTAAATCCCAGAATCAGGCCCAATTGTGATTTACAAAGCTCTCGCTCAGCTGCTCTGAACTCTGTAGGCACCTAAAGTCACTGGGCACCTAAATTTCTGGAGTAAAAATTCCTGAGGCACTTATGTTTCTGCCTCTGGGCATGCACACTGCATTCCCACAGCAGGCATCCAGACACCCAAGCCCAGAACAATGCACAAACCAGGAGAAGACAGATGTTCCTCTGCCTAAATTGCTGGCAGGGCCTGATATGGTAAGTGTGCTCAGGCCTTGCCTACCAGATCTGATTCCTGTAAGCAAGCTTGCACATAATGGGCAGCAGGGGAAAGAGCAGCTCCCTAATAACCTTTAGGGTGGTTAGGGTGCTCACCTGGGATATGGAATACCTCCTCCCACTTTAAGTCCCCCCTCTGCCTGAGGAGGAGAAGGGATTTGAACTAGGAGCTGCTGCCTCTCGGGTGCATGCTCTAACTACTTGGCTATAGGATATTCTGATCTGGAGCTCCTTCAGTCTCTCCAGTTGAAGGTGTTCCATT